GCTATTAATGAGAAAGCTGCCGATTAGTGACAGTGACTGACTCTGCGCGAATCGATTCGACTAGCTGAGCATTGTGGTGTGTGGCGTAGCTTTTAATTTAAGCATTTTTAAGCTGATTTAATTTACTCGGTCTCCTCATGAATGCGCATGTGCTTTTTTCCGACTGAGTTCAATGATGGCTACCTGATGGTCATAACCGGAACCGGGTCCCCCCACCATCGCTGGACCTGACACTCTTAGTGGGGTCAAATGCCGCCCTGCAGTGCTGCCCAAAGTCTTCACAGCCCCTGTGATCAGTTTTTCCTGGGCAAGCGATTTTACAGGGCAGTACATCCAAAACAATATTCAGGTTGATGCACATCACATTATGCTAGCTGCTAGTTGCTGCTGGTGACTTGGCAAACCCCTGCAAAGAAGTAAAATATATAAGACACAAATATATAAATACTTTTTTGACATGACATGGTTCTTTGCCAGACCATACCTTCCGAGCAACCGACTCTACCCAGATTCGTTTCACAGTCCGTGCCATCCGTTTTTGGTTCTTGAAGTCAACGTTGGGATCGAGCCGTTCCATGTCACGCTGTAGTAACGACACTGACTCATCTAGAATCACACAGATCTCTGACAGTAAGTCCAGCGTTGGACCCACTACAATGTCTTGCATGGTCGCATCGTGTTGAGGGTCCAAACAGAAACATAGAAGCTCACACAAACTCATCTTTGATACTCTGCCATTGCTAGATTGCAGCCACTTCTTCTGGGAATTCTTGTAGTCAACACCCCAAGTCCTGCGAACAGAAGAAATGAAGTAGTCTTCGTCCCAAAAGATACGCCCATCAACAAACCCATTCTGGTCAACTGGCAGCGTCACTGAGGCGTCCGAACCAGAGCCAACAGGCCAATGTTCTAGCACAAAACCCCCTGTTGAACTGCACAGAAGTGCGAGTAGGCTGGCAAACGAGGTGCAGGCAGTTTCTCTATCAATCAACGGCCGGAACTTGCCGGAAATAGCAAATGTAATAAAGGCAATGAAAGTGGATGAGCTCAATGTTGTCTCTCTGAACCAGACATCTTGATCTGCGTCTGCTACTGAAGCCAAGTGGTGCTTAGTCCGAAGTCTCTGAACAATGAATCCTGGCCAAATTCGACGGTGAGCATCATCAATGGAGTCCTGGTTCCTTCGGAAGGACTCCATTGCCTTCTTGATGTTCTTGGTCCGGAGAAACGCAGTCAAAGCCTGCCAGCAATGTCACGGCCAAAGTTCAATCCAGTGAACATTCACAACAACAGAGTGGAAACAAGCGAAATATTGTATTATTGAATGATTTGACCCACTTGTATTTCAAAGAGTCCAAAGCCCAAAGTCGTTCATTGAATCAAACATCAGTCAAACTAGGCTTACTCAGACAGATTACTCATTCCTGTTACGGGTTACATTGCTACTGCTAAAGCGGTTGACTCTACAAAAAATTATTGGTTCTGTGTGGGAACAACCATCCTGAGTCGCAACCCATTGCGTCTGCTGTGTCCGAGACAAATAAATCGCGATGTCTTGGCCAGCGAAGCGCACTAAGCCTCCAGTGGACCGCCAATCCCACAAATTGATTGACTGAATCAAACTCACCCCAAACTCACTTGAATTGGACACAGGGTTCATAATAAATGTGGGTCTCACGATTGGTTGAATCATCAGCGGTGGCCTATTATCAGATTTATCTTTATTTATTTTTTGCCAAACAGTTCAGTTGTTTCACCTCACTGACAAATCTCTTACTTTGTTCCGGGTCTGATTGACTGGGTGAGTCTTAGTGGATTAGACTGGCTCAGAATCTGACCTCTCGAGTGAAAGGATTCGTCGTTGTCGTCGTTGGTCTCTGCCTAATTGAGGCAAAGTTAGATTTGACAGTCTGAGTTGTCTGACAGTCTGACTGAAATCAGAAACCAGGTCTTTCAAGTTTACAGGTTCGCAAAAAAATAGATAAAAAATATAATAGATAATAATAGACTCTCCCATACACGCTTTGATGGATACCTCAGCCTCAGCCTTGAACTAGATACAGTAGACCATATTGAAAAAATGCCGCAATTGTATCTGGGTCTGCGGGCGCATTGCATGCGGTCGGGCTCTCCCGGTATCGAGATTGCGACGGCCAATCTCAACTCGAGCCACTGACCAATGAGCCGAACGCGTGACACGTCACGTTGCTGCAGATCTCTGCAACAAAATTGCTTGTTCCCACAGTCAGTCACAAATCGCCGATAACTGATAAATAGCATCAAAATAAACCCTTGTTGGTGTTTTGTGTCTTATTTCTTGCTTATTTTTGCTATTTCTTAGCAAGACATTAATAAGATCATAATAAGGGCTTAGTAATGTCTTATATGTTAAGTCCAGAGGGTAGGGGGTGTTTGGCTAGGGGGAGTTGAGGATCTCATGATGAAAACATACGGGGCAGAAATGGTGCACCCGAAAGGAAAGCAGCACTGGAAGAGAAAGCGAAAGAACCGGTCATGAAACGGCCAGCAGCTGCTCCAAAGTTGGCAAAATCAGTGCCCAAAGCAAGTGGGGCGAAGCGCCCCAAACAAGTGGGGCGCCTTCCTTTTCCTGATGGAGATTTGGGGCTTGGCTGCAGCAAATGCAAATTCAATGAACAACGTGGCTGCTTGCAATGCCGGAAGCGGGCAGGGCTGGTCCTGAATTCTGGTGAAACTGCTTGGGTGTTTAAGAGCCAGCCCAGCTCTGGCTGATTTCCACAATCATTGGAAAGTTTTGCTGATGGAAGATTCTAACCTGTTTGGCCAGACCGGAAAAACCTTGCACTGTTTTGGGAGCGCTGTACACGGACTCGCTTTCCCGATGTTCTGGCAAATTGTTTATACTGCTGTGATTCTGATTTTGCATGTTCACATGTCTGTGGAGGCTGCCTACCACACTGGGGCATATGGTGGCTGACCGCGTTGAGGAAGGCAAGTTCAACCTTGGACTGGTATGACTGGACTGATTCATTGTCATTCTCCATGCAAAAAATGTTGAATCTTGCCATAATACTAAAAGCCTGCCCACAAACTGCTAACATGATGGATCTAGAAAATGACCTGTGCACGCCGGTCTTGTTTGAAAGTGCGCATTACCGGGCTGATCTTGCTGCAGGCCATTGGGGCTTATCTGTTGCCTGCCTGGCGTGAGCCACTTATGGCATTTCCATGATCATGTTCCGTTGAACTTGATAGTCACAGTGTGTCTGTGTGCAGGTGCTCAGAATCATAAAGCATAGAGGTGCTGACTAAGTGCCTGAATGGTGCTGCGAAGTACCGGCATTTGCTGTGTTTGCAGATTCATCATTGAGTCTAAGGGACCTGTGGCCTTATTCTTTTTTTGCAATTGCAGTGTTTTGGCACTCAGTCAAAGTCCTGGCCAGCGGCTGGGCAGTCCGGTGTTAGAAAGAAACACTGATGGCCATGATTGACCTCACCATGGAGGAGCTGGGCGCTGAGGAGGAATCAGCTGGTCAGACCGGTGCTGCCAGGGCGACTGACCATATCATGGAGGTGCCCGATGAAGAGGTTCACTTTGCTGAGTTTTTCACAGCCCCGAGGGTGTTGCCACATATCCTGGCAGCTGGCATGCATGGGGCGGTGGCCATGGATTTGAAACTGGGGCATGATTTCAACTTGTGGCATTGCAGGGCAATGGCCTTCCATGTGCTCATGGAGCAGTTGCCCATGTTCATCATGCCGAGCCCGCCTTGCACCATGTTCAGTCCGCTCCAAGTTTGCTTCCGCAATTTTGAGCGCATGGACCAGGAGATTTACCAATGTCGCCTTACAGAAGCTGAAGGATTTTTGGACATCACAGCTGCTTTAGCTGAGAGACTCCAAGCACTTCTGCATAGAGCACCCCCACCGGGCTTCTTCCTCGAAGCATCCATCAATCATCAAGCTGATGGAGCATGGTGCTTGTCAGACCACAGACTTTGATCAATGCTGTGTTGGCCTGAAATGCCCACAAGGTGGTTGTCCAATTAAGAAGCGCCCGCTTTCTCAGCAATGCCCCGGCAATACGTGCCATATTTTCTGAATTCCAATGCTCATGCCAGTCACCACACCGACCAAATGAGGGTTCAGTGTGTGGCATGTCGCTATCAGTGTCAAAAGTACCCTTACCAAATGCGCCAGGCAATTTGTCAGGCTGTGGTTTCCACTGTCCAGCCTCAGCCATGAAGGTTGGCGCTTTGAATGCTTTACAAGGCCTGAACTTGCCAAAGGCCTCGGTGAATTGGAAATTTGGGCCTTGCCTGGCTCCAGCGCAATCAGATTTTGCCGAACCACTCACAGATTCCGGTCCGGCAGATGGAAGCCGCAGCGCTGCAAAAACAATTTGCTCATTGAGATAAGGCTCATTGAAACGGAATTTGACATTTGTAAAAATGATTATTAGAAAGGCAGATCCTGAAGATCAGGGGGGGCTGAGCTCAGGGGGTGAGATCGTCAGATTTCAGATGAAGCCTGACCAACAACATATCCAACATCAAGATCCTGAAGATCAGGGGGGGCTGAGCTCAGGGGGGGTAGATCGTCAGGATCCTGGTCTGGGGGGGGGATCGTCACATTTCATCTGAAGCCGAACTATCGGGGGGGGCTGAGCTCAGGGGGGGTAGATCGTCAGGATCCGAGAATTTCATGTCATAATTTCATTTCAGAATTTCAGAATTTCATTTCAGAATTTCTGCCAGCGATTTTGCCAGATCAAAGTGGGGCGGACTGACTGGAGTCTTGGCCATGGCAGCTGCAATCAAAGATGGGCCAGAGACTCATGAGCCATTGACCCCTGAAAATTTCAGGGAAGTGATCCGGTCAGTGGCTTTCAATGAGTTGAAAAAACACCGCCATGCATGGCAATATCTTGAACATCACTACAGTGACCAGTCCAAGCTTGATGAGTTCAACTTTCAGCTGATGACTGCATTCCCGGCCTTGCCACAATCCTATGCAACTTCATGGAAGTCCGCGCCAGCGCACCCAGACAGTTTGTGGTGCATCTCAACGACCTGTCTTGGGATGAGCAGAGTTCACCAAAGCCACCGCCATTCCGGACTCAAAGTGAGCTGTTGCTGGATGAGTTCCTCACCAATGGCTGTGTCACACAAACTGATCCACTTCAGGTTTGGGAGGCACCGGACTCGCGGAGCACCATGACCAACCAATGGGTGAGCTATGTCAAGGGTGCTGCGCGGTCAGCAACAATGTTGTTCCTGGCAAGCTTTTCCATCAGATACCACTGGGACTTTGGCAGCCTTTTCCCAGAGCTGCAAAGAAGTATGTGTGCCATCCATTGCCGTCGTGGTGATTGCGCAAGCGACATTGCCAGTGTCGCCCTTTGTGCTTTGGATGTGTTTTAGTACTCTTGTTCTGTGGCCCATAGACATTATGGTGCATCTAACAATGTTAAAAGGGTGTGATCATGGCACCTTTGGCCTAGGCAATGCCAAAGAATGTGCAGCAAAGAGCATCACCAAGCAACACTGTGCACTCACTTGGCTTGGAAAGTTGAACTTGGTGAAGAACCGTGATGCTTACACGCCGACCGAGCTGATCAAAGATTGGAACCGTACAGCCACAAACCAATCCAAGCTCCAAGGGAACAAGCACTCAGCGGTTCTGGCTTTGCTAGCTCTGGATCAGAAGGCCATTGAGTTCCTGCTGGGTCATTTGAATGAGTTTGGAAGCCAAGGCAATGCTTTCAGTGAGACAGTGTGGGCATCAAAGAAGATTATGCCAGGTGGTGGGCCACGTGGTTTTCCGAAGGAGTGGAATGCTAGGTTGACTATGACCAGCGAGGCCTTCATGCTCTTGCTCAGGTATGTTGATGCCCAGCGCCGTTCCAAGCTGGAAGGGGCACGGGTCAAGGTGCCGGCAGCAACTATGGAAGAAGCTGCCCAGATGTGCGCCTTGTTATCAGCAGTGATTGGCAGACCTGGTCACGAATCACCCGATCAGCCACGATGTCCTTGAGGCTGAGTTAGTCCAGCAGTTTCTGGAGGGCAATATGAATCTGGAGTTGGAACTACAGAATGCACTGTCGCAGGAGCAATCAAATTTCAAGCCTGCGGACATACCGTTGGTGAAGGGACTGATGGCGAAACATGCTGCCAATGCTGATGATGAAATGGCCCGACTGGGCCTGGCACCTGCAGGGCATGCCATTTTGCCAGGCCAACTTGAGAAACGACATCGCCTTGTCTCAGATCAGACATGATATTGATGTTTACCGTGTGTGGCTTACCAGATCCAGAGACAGAGAAGCTGCTGTCTACCACCAAGCATTCCAGTGGAAGATTTCAAGGCAGTCCCGAGCCAAAGATTTGGCTGATGCGATGTTGACCCGAGCCTCGGAGCATTGGCGGATTGAGATGTCGGAGCTTGAGAATGCTAATAGTGCCGCCAGATTTGTCAATGATTGTATGCGCCAGATTTTGAAGCTTGAACAACTCAAGGCAGAGGACCTGGTGGCGGTGGTCCTTCTGAATTGGGCAGCGCCAAATCTTTGGCCATCACAATGCCAAAAATCCAAGCACAGATCCTGGGAAATTTGCTGAATTGCCCAAGCTCTCCTAAAAGTGTGGGGCTGTTCTTGATGCCAACCTTTTCTTTTGAGAAGGGGAAACTGCACAAACTTGAGGAGAGCTGCCAGAAACTGCTTGGGCAGAACAACATCAACCTTGATGGTGTGGCAGTGTTGCCATACAAGGGGCGGTGCGATGACCGCAGCAAGAGGCTGGGCTGTGAATATCATTTGTTGAAATTTAGTGCTGCAAAGTCGTACTTTCTTGGTGCTGCAGAAATGCAATCATTTATCATATATATATATCTTCAGTTTGTGAGTTTGCTGCAAATGTACTTTCTTGGTGCTGCAATGTGCCACCTATCATGTCTTCATTTTCTGGATAGATAGGAATATTATCATCAGTTGCCATTTTTGGTCAGGTCACTGGTTCACACTGCCCGGGTTTGCTTCACACTGTCTGATGACATCTACAAGCTGGCAAGTGAGCACTTTGCCAAGAGTTCCATCATCCGCAAACCGCTGTGGAAAGAAGCTGAGCTTCCTTCCTCTAAAGAGCTTCTGACCATTGAGGATATGTCTGATTGTGCTTTGCCCAGCAGCACAGATGCATCGACCCATCCATCACAAGCTGAAAAGAATCAGCAGATTGGTGTGGCTGCGGCCAGGAACATCATCAAAGCTGTCCTGAAGATAGAGAACTCTGCATCTGTTGCAGCGGCCAGGTCATCGACCCTCATTGTGGATCTGACTGTGCACACCTGTGACTTCAGTCGGGCGGCGGCGCTTGAGAAGGACAACCAATTCCTTTACTACCTTGGGTTGCGCCGCAATGTTGGTGAGGAGGAATGGTCCAGAACCTACATGAAAGAATTTCTTACCCAGGGTCTTCTGGAGGGTGCCATCCCTGGAGTGACACTCCCTCCTGAGGAGGTGCCAGCAGACTTGAAGGAAACCAGCCCTCCTTTGCCGACACTTAATGCCTTGGTCCTCAACAAACAGGTCAAAGTGGATGGGTTGGTGACCCTCAAGGCTCCAGACAAGGTTCTTGCATCTTGGGGAGAACACCCCGCCTTTGGGCCAGAGTTCTGGCAAGTCATCAATGAGGCTCGATCGACACTGCCATTGGATGTTACAGATTCCAAAAAGCGAGACAGTGATGGGCTCCCGCTACCACCTGGAAAGCTGCCAAAGCATGAGGCAACTGGCACCCCAAAGAAAGAAGAGACCAAAGGTGAAGCCAAAGCTGAGATCAAAGAGGCGATCAAGATCAGTGAGATGCCGACTCCGTTGACATGGGAGGCCTCTTTGAACCTTTCCAAGACCAAGGGGCAGGTGTCCTTGGTCATCACGCTTGGATCCAGGATTTGGTTGGTCAACCGCGGCCCGAAAGATGTCATTTTGCACAAGAATCATGTCATTGCTGGTTTCCATGCTGGCAAATGGTGGCACAAAGCCAATGCGCAAGATGGAGTCCGAGAGGTGGACATATTGCATGACCTGGCCAATGCGAGCACTCTGGTCCAATGCAATGGCACTATCGAAACTCTTGGTGAAGTGATCAAGGCAAAGCGCAGCACAAATCCTGATGTGACTGTGCAATATCACCACATCAAAGATGCCCCAGCTGATACAGATCCGGCATTTTTCCAGATGGAGCGAGACAAGAGCATCTATTTCCAGGTGCAGGAGATTCCGGCCAAATCGGTCATGAAGGATGCACAGGGCAAGGCATGCGTCAGCTTTGACAAGATGGCTGGCTGCATCAGCTTTGACAAGTGGAGCACACCCTTTACTGAGATGATTTGGGTTGTCAAATGGAGCCCAACAGCAGCCAAAGGACTAGTGCCGTTTCGCCCCATTGTGATCCTCACTCGTGATGTTTCTGTGCCTCCCGACTGTGCAATTGAATTGTCGGGATCATCAGCTGCTCCGGCAGCATGAAGAAGCTTCCATTTAGCATTCGTTTCCAAAGTAGCCATAGGTAGCTTCTATTGAAGCAGCTAGTTGATTACCAACCACGGGCAACTCATAATCTCCTGTCTTTTGCTTTGTGGAAAGCTTCTTAATAGGGCAGCAAAACCTGCTGTGGTTCATCCACAAGAGCAACAGTCATCTGTGGCACTGTCTCAAAAAATCTGCTTTTCAACTTGCAATAGCAGTCAATGGGACAAGCACTTTCTATATGCATTAGCCAGTGGGATGCATCACTGGGCCAGGTGCCAGCGAGCTTCAGATCTGCTGCCAACTCAGCACTTCAGACTGACACGGACCAATTGCCATAAACATCTCATCATGCTTGCCATGAAATAGATTTTACATAGAGAAAGAGAGAGGCCTGATTTTGATATCCCTCCATAAGTTGTAATGGCCCAATAGCATTATAGAAACACATATTACATAATTGAAGCGGCCAAATTCCATCAAATTAAACTATATAGTTGATTGGCACTTTTGCAGCACCATGGAACAGGCATTTGCGCAACACCTTTCTGCAACCAATATGAGAGTGAACACATTGAGGCCCTTGCGTTCTCCGCCCTGCAAAAGGACCGCTGGATGCATTGGCCTCCAGGTTTACACACTTGTTCGGGTCACGAGATCCCTCTGTACCCCCCACAGCCACAGTGAGCACGCCGCAATGTTTTTCTCAAGGGGTCGGTTTTCGACCACAATCCTTAATCCTTAGCCTTCTTCGGCTTCAGTGAAGATTCCATGGCATGGGTGAGTTGGTCATCCAAACGATTCCCAAAATCAGTGGCCAATGGCTTGGGTATTCTTCCGCCCAGCCTTGTAGCCACCAAAATTCCGTCTGGAGTGGTGGATGAACTCAAATACTGAATGGTTGCATTTATTTAAACTTAGCATATCCTTTGGCAACCTATTTCTCCTAGCTGCTAAAGGACAACAAGATCCTTTTCAATTTCAATATGTTATCCAGCCACTCTTCTCCCAATAATAAGCCGCGATTTGATCCCAAATCATATTATTAAATTGGGCAAGATGGTCGCCACCATGAGCATGTCTCAGAGCCATGTACCTGAGAAAGTGTATTTTGCAGACTAGTGCCTTTTGTTTTTATTGCTCAACACACTTTATAAATTGAAAACGCACTCTATAAAAAATGCTCAATGAAATAGGACCAAGTTGCAAACTGTGGGCAAAGTGGATCAAGGCCAGTCCTCCGTTGTAAGGATGCTTGGCTGCAAAGCCTTCCAGCCAATCCGCACAAGCTTTTGTGGTCATACTGGTGACCAAATCGATCACCTCAGATCAAGCATTCTTCGCGGAAACCTTTACAGATTGACACACTATTTGCTTTCTTCCCAAGGATTTAAAAGGAAAATAAAAAACTCTAATCCAGAGCAAGGCCACATCTGGTGGCAGTGCGAAGCTCTTCAAAACATTGCCCGGATTGCAGCCCGGCCACACGCCCTGGTGGAACTGTTTGTGCCATGACCGTTGGCTTCCTCCTTCACAAAATTCAACGAAGCTTCTGACAAAGCCTGTTGTAGCCAACAACTCGTGGTAAGCGGACTCGAGGATCTTCCAATGTTGATAAACGACCTGGGGGTTGGTACACTTCTTCATTGTGCAAATCCGGCAGGCCACGCTCCACTGAGCTGCAAGCGGGTCACGAGCTTCCCATTGGAGCGGTTCCCATCCTGACTTGTAATAAGGCACCCCACACATGGGGCACCGCATCCCATATGCATCGGCCACAGATACTAGCGCCATGATACCAAGCGATCAAAGTGGTTATAAATTATAATCATGATGGAGATTTGATGACTTTGAAGTGTGATTTGTTTGTATAAGTTTTCCTACTAATCAAAAATGTTTATTAGGCACTATGGAGCGTGGCAGCGACATAGCAAGTGATTGAGAAAGTAGTTGGCCTAGACATGGACTTTGATGTTTCATGATTGGTTCTGTGCCTTTGAGCTGAAATCATCAAACACAATATGTTTGAACAAGGATGTGATCAACCGCATGGCCTCTCTTTTTGATACTGTGTTGTGTGCCATACTGTTGGTTCTGGTTTTGGTGCATTGGTGCAGCACACACTTTGAGGGCACTTTTGCAGCACCCACTTGGTTTGTTTTTCTTGCTGCTTGAAGTCATTATAACTAGTAAGAACTAACTAAAACCGGTGCTGCGCAAGTGCCGTACATAGCATTGCAAAATACTTTGAATATGACCATAATGATTCCACCATTTGACCCACTGCTGTGTGTCAAGTCAAAATTTGTTGCAAGGACCTCATTGGCATGGTGGCCAGGTGGGTGGTCGCCAAGAGCTCAGTTCAGGGACTGTCAATGTCCCACCCCACTGCTGCCAAGGTGCATCTTGGTTGGCAGGTGCAGCTGCTGCAGGAGACAGGTGGTATTATAATGGGTGTATGTGCGTACATGTGGAGGTTTTATTGGAATAGCAATGCATTTCTTAACTATGGCAAACATAAAACAAGTAATAATCTCATAATGATTTCCTATACATTATCTGTTTCTTGTATTGCAAAAAGAACCTCGCACGTGGATTGCACTTTGCAGCACCATGTCTAGGCTGATAGTTTTTGACCTCCGTGCACTTTCAAAAATAAATTTGACATCCATGGTTGCTGGATGCAGCCTGAGCTTTCTGTTTTGTATAGGTATGGTCATGGCAGTGGAATAGCACTTTCACGGCTATTTGCTTAGAAACTGTTTTAAATTAATATGAGTTTTTATTTAATATGATTTTTTAAATAGCTGTCTTAAAATAATATCACGCGGCACTCATGCAGCACCTTCATGGCATTTTGCAGCACCATATCTAGAAAGTGGTTTTACTGAAATTCCAAAGTATTCAAGTATTCAGTGCAGTTAGACTTTGTAAGTTGATTTTGTTGTCAACTACAGTTTTAAAAAAGCACCAAAACAAAAATAAAAGGAACCGATAGCCAGATTATAGCTTACACGCACGATCTCCGCAGAGGGTTGCGCCGGAATCGGACAATTCGCACTCTCGCCTGCATTTCGCGCGCTCGACACGCACGATCTCCGCAGAGGGTTGCGCGCGCATGGGGCAAATCGCACTCTCGCCTGCATTTCGCGCACTCGACGCGCACGATCTCCGCAGAGGGTTGCGCGCGTCCAGGACCAAGCGCGCTCTCGCCTGCATTTTGCGCACTCGACACGCGCGATCTCCGCAGAGGGTTGCACTTTCGGTTGACGCTGTTCGTCCCACCCTCCGCCTTTAAAGAGAATTTATAGAGTGGGGGAATGTTTTTCATTAGGATATCTCCCGTGAAAGTTTTACTTACACTTGCACTTGCCTTGCATACTTGCACTGGGATACTTACACTTGCATACTTGCACTTGGATGCGTTCACTCTTACACTGGGATACTTACACTTGCAAACTTTCACTTGGATACTTCTGCGCCATTGTAAGTATAGAAGTGTAAGTGTTCAAGTGTAACTACAGCAGTGTACGCATTCAAGTGATTTTCCGGAAGAACCCTTCGCAATGCTTTCGGGAAAAATGAAGGATGTATTTTGGATGATATGAGGTTTATCAAATGTAGGCGGCTTATCTTTTTATAGAATAATAGTGTTAGGTATTTAACTTTTGTGGTTGGATATTGGTATGTTGCGTATTATAATAGGTTTTGGTACAGGTTTTTTCAAATGAAAATACTAGTTTTGCTTGATGGTGTTAATCGTTGGTTTTTGATATTGGTACAAAATAATAGCTTTGTATAATAGGAAATAGCGGTATGTTTTGTAAGGTTTTAGTTATTGTATTTTGATGTTTTGAGAGTTTAGGCAAGTTGTATTTTGTAAAGATGAGTGTTTAAACGTTGGGTTTTTGTGTTTTTGATTGAAATAGATGCGTTAGTACTAGCTTTAGGTTTGCTTAGAGCTTTGATTTTTATAACAAGTCGTTTGTTCTAATTACATCTCTAATATATGTTTTCGATAAGCGTTTTTTGTGTATAGGACTACTCGTTTTCGTCAATTTTTTTGTTTATTTTTTATTCGTGTAAAGTATCTTTTCTTTTGGAAATAGAGATGTTAGTTTTGAGACAGGGAAAGGAAAAAGGAAGAGATGGAAGATGGAGGAGGCGGTTTTGGTGGGTAGGTTGTGGTAGGGTTTGGTGGGTACTATTGGTTGTTGTTGTCGTTGCGAATTTTGTGTGGGGTGGGTTTACCTGATATTGATTTGGAACGTATATAGTACTGTGTCGTGTTTGATGGCTTTGGACCGTTGCAAATGATTTTAGCTAAAATGTTCTTCAAATGCTATTTTTGTAATAATGGCTGACAGTATTTTTTGCAGTAATATTTTAGAATAAGTGTTCCGATCTTTTATACGAATATTACATGGGAATACAGGTTCTTGAATTTGTTTAATCGCATTCCAACAAGCCCTGGATCGGGCTGCCAGCTAGGACTTAACTTACTGATTTGGGGCTAGTAGCGTAGAAATAGAGTAAGAGTAGACCTCGAGCGGGAATTTTAATTAATTACAATGGATAGAGACAAGATCTTTATCAGGAAATGCTTTTACATTAAAGGTTTATACGAAATCATCAGCCGTAACAAGAAAATGGATCTATTGAACGCTAAAAGTTTTGGCAAGTGAAGCAAAAGTCAAGTCTTTCTATACCTGGTGCGAAAAATCTTATGTCCTTTGGTGGTGTTGGCACATAGCTGAAAATTGTAATGGTAGGAATGACTGCGTCATCATTTCAAAAAACTGTTTAAACTCATCCTTCTTCATTATTTTTCAATATTCAGGCTGTCAGGCATTAGCTATCTATCTCATGTGTTAACAAAATTGTTTTTATGAAATTTTCATTTTTGGAATGATTATGGAGTTGAAATATTGAAGTTAGTAGATTTCCAACTAACAGTCTATATGCAGTGAATTGCCTATTTGTTCTTTCGAAGCCTTACG